CATCATCCCTAATTATTAGAGAAATGTAAATCAAAACCACCCTGAGATACCATCTAACCCCAGCAAGAATGATCCACATCACAAAATCTCAAAACTGCAGATGCTGGCATGGATGTGGAGAGAAGGGAACATTTTTACACTGCTGGTGGGACTGCAAACTGATACAACCTTTTTGGAAGGAAGTATGGAGAACCCTCAAAGAACTCAAGCTAGACTTCCCATTTGATCCTGCAATCCCATTACTGGGTATCTACCCAGAAGGAAAAAAATCCTTTTATAATAAGGACACTTGCACTAGACTGTTTATTGCAGCTCAATTTACAATCACCAAATGTGGAAACAGCCTAAATGCCCCTCAACCCAGGAATGGATCAACAAGCTGGGGTATATGTACACCATGGAATACTATTCAGTCGTTAAAAAAATGGAGACTTTACAGCCTTTCTATTAACCTGGATGGAAGTGGAACACATTGTTCTTAGTAAAGCATCACAAGAATGGAGAAGCACGAATCCTATGTACTCAATTTTGATATGAGGACAATTAATGACACAGTGGGGGGTGGGGGAAGGGGAGAGCAGAGAGGGAAGGAGGGAGGGGCTGGGGTCTTGGTGTGTGCCACACCTTTTGGTGGCAAGACATGATTGTAAGAGGGATTTTACCTAACAAATGCAATCAGTGTAAACTGGTTTCTTGTACTGTCAATGAACCCCCCCAAATAAATAAATTTTTAAAAAAAGAAAGAAAGAAATGCCCACAATCACCAAAGTGTGCACAGGGGCCCTGCAGAGAGCAGCGTGGGGTGAGTGGGCAAGAGGAGCTTCCCACAGTCTGTGACATCACAGAGGGCTGCCCATAGGAACAGGCCCACCAGCCAATCCCAGATGCCACAACCAGGAAGCTTCAGGGTGGAAGAGCTGAAGTGGGAGAGTGGGGGAGGGGGTAGCAGGGGTCTCCTGCATCTATCAAAGGCATAAATGGGGCCATGCTGGAGCCCAGTGGTGTGGTAGGCGGGCTGGGGGGGGGGCTCTCGAGAGCACCATCTCCCTGCAGATAGATACCAAGCACACCTCCCTCAAGCACCAGGCACCTGCCAGGCATAGGGCAATATGGCCACAGAGCCCTCTGGAACTCACAGTTGGCCCAGGAGCCCCACACACAGTTGCCCGTGTGACGACAGCACCAGGACAGCAGGGTGGTGTGGGTTGTGGCTATGCCTACTGCCCAGAGGAATGAGGGAAGCAGGCACTGGAACAGCATTGCAAGGAACCCCATGGAGCTGGGATGGCCACTCTGGGACCAAAGTGAGCCCCACTGGAGTGGGACCTGCCAACTCAGGCCTCTTCCTCCCTCTGGCCTAGAATTCACAGGACGTTTGTTGAAATTGCATCACAGCCATCACAGGCTCTGCCTCTTGCACCCGAGGGATCCCAGGGACAGACACAGCACGGGCTGTGGGGGAACAGGCAGTGAGCAGACAGAACCTGGTTTGGTCTAGCAGTCCTGATCACACTACTCTCCCTGGCTTGGTCTGGCAGTCCTGATCACTCTACTCTCCATGCTACCACCCCTTCCCCACCCAACATTTCTCCTGGTGATTCTGCCTGAGACAAGAGAGCTCCTAAGGTTGAAAGTGGGAGCCAGCAGCGTCCAGGTGTTGGGGATACCCCACTCTCAGCAAGGCCAGGTCAGTGCCTACAGACACTCTCTGTGGGTGCACCCAGAAAGCTGTGTCTGCAAGGTACAATCTGCCTTTCTGCACACTGGGCACTGGGCTTCGGGACCTCAGCCTCCGATGGCCACAAAGCTGCTCTGTGTTTTCCTCAGGCACCCCTGGGCACCTCTGGCCCTTCCTGGGGGTAGATGCTTGTCCAAGGGCAGGAGCAGCAGGCAGGTGATGGCAGCTGACCAACTCTCTCAGCACCCCCCATCCCTGAGCTAGGATCCCCGTATCACTCGAGGCGACAATCACTGACTTGCCAGATGGCTCAGTGGCCCAGAAACACCTGGCTCACAGTGACATCAAAGCCAACAGTAACACACAGACACACAGATGATGTGGGTGTCACAGAACAAGGGCTCATGCAACCCACGTAGGCCTGCAAGTGGGCCCTGAGTCTGCCAGGCAGGGACACACACAGCCAAAGCAGGGTGGCTCAACTTCTCAGGTGAAATTTCCCCGCAGTGCTTCTGTGAAATCAGTGAGGTTCCCTGGTGCTTTCTCATAATGAGAAGACTCGGGGTCGGCCAGGTGGACATTGTGGGGACACCGGGGCTGTGTCCACACACAAGGCAGCTGACATCTGACCATAATATGGGATGAGCTTTTGCATCAGGGTTAAACCTTCCGGTTTTGAGGACTGAAACCCAGGAGCCTGTGTGGTGGCTCAGTCTCGGTGGCCCTGATTTCTGTGCATGCTCTGCCAGGTCACCCACCTCACCAAGAGGGCTTGAAATCTTCATGTTCACACAGTGTGGGGGCCTGGAGACCCAGAGGTGCCCACCACCCATGTGGCAGTAATAGCTCCACCCTCAGTATATGGGGCCGGTGCCCTACCCACTAAGCCACAGGTGCTGCCAGCAAAGGGCCATATTTGATAGAGGTGGAAATCGGGCACATTATAAAGCTAAGTGATGGAAGTGGTGGTGTTGGTGCCAGGGCGGAAGCTTGGCTGACAGAACAGAGCAGAGAGCCCAGGGACCAGCTCTACACAGTCCTTGGCCATGGCCAAGGCAAGAGGCAAGGGGCTGGCTAGAGAGACAACTCAGGCAGAACTGTCCCCTGATCTGGGAAGGAGCTGGCCATCCCCTGCACTGAGACAGAACACTCCCCAACATGTTAAGGATCAAAGTCACACAGAAAGCGTCCACCACAGGGCTGTCCAGGGCGGCAGTGCCCTGGAGTGGGCCACTGTCTGGTCAAGGGGTACACCCCTGTCAGGGAAGGGCACTTCATGCTGGGCTGATGTGGGAACGGGACAACAGGGTGTCCAGGCCAACAGAGCAGGGCTGGGTGGTGACTTGGGAGCAAGGCTTCTCCCTCCCCAAGGCCCTGTGGCATGGGTGGCTGATGGATACCGTCTGTCAGGTGTGGCCGAGTCTGCCTCTGTTATGCTCATGCCCTCATAACCCCAGAAGGGCACCACACCCGTGACCCACATTGATCTGCCCCGTAAGGATAATGACAGGCAAGTAAATACCACTCAAAATAGCAACCTCTTCGCCCTAGCCCTGTGGTGGGCGGGTATCACGTCATGGTCTTAATCTGCGTTTCCCCGATGAACAGCCATGTTCAACATCTTTAACCTTCCCTTTGCCGTTCCACCTCCTCACTGTGGAGTCCCTGCTCAGGGCTCCATCCATTCCTCAGCGGGGCAGTGGGGTTGCCTCTTGTTCCTGTTCAGGATGGTGCCCTTTCTCACCAGAGGCGCCTGCCCACGGACCTCCCCCAACCCTCTTCATGGGGTCTTGACTACCATGCAGTCCTATTTATCTGCTTTTCCTTCTAAGGTCCTGTCCACGGTCATAAGGGTTTAGTGCCTCATCCGACCAGAATTGGATTTTGTGCGGGACATGAGGCAGGGTACAGGATGCACCTGCCCGTGTCCCTCCAGTTCAGGACATCATGCCGGCCACCCCCACCCCCACCCCCTTCCTGCCTTGGCTGTGGCCAGGGTCTGTGCAGAGCTGGTCCCTGGGCTCTCTGCTCTGTTCTGTCAGCCAAGCTTCCGCCCTGGTGCCAACACCACTGCCTCAATCACTTAGCTTTGTAATGTGTCCAATTTCCACCTCTATCAAATACAGCCCTTTTCAGGTGGTGCCTATGGCTTAGTGGGTAGGGCACCGGCCCCATATACCAAGGGTGGTGGGTTCGAACCCAGCCCCTGTCAAACTGCAACAAAAAATAGCCAGGGGTTGCGGCGGGTGCCTGTAGTCCCAGCTACTGAGGAGGCTAAGACAAGAGAATCACCTAAGCCCAGGAGTTGGAAGTTGCTGTGAGCTGTGACACCACAGCACTCTACCAAGGGCAACAAAATGAGACTCTGTCTCAAAAAACAAAACGTGGCCCTTTGCAGTTACATACAAATTTAAAATGAACTCATCAATTTCCACACAAACACATTCTGAATTTATAGACTGATTTGGAGAAGACTGACATGGTAGCAATTTCCCTCACATTCCTAAAGGATGCCCTAGAGAGCCACGAGCTTATAACTCATTAAAAGTTTAGATCAATACTTATTAGATTAATGGACTATAACTTTGGTCTTGCTCTTTGTGAAGCTTTGACACTGCCAGCACCTGTGACACGGGCCAGGTCCCATTGCCCGTGAACTCTCCTCTGGTTACCACACACCTGGAAGGTCCCTCCATAACAAGTCCTGGTCCCCAAATACCATGAGGCTTGCAGGGCTGAAGCCATAAATCACAGCCCCAGCCCAGCCCTTCCACAGTCCAGCCAACGCGCTTCCACCAGCACAGACTCCGGGGGATAGAGCTTGCTAGTGTGTTTATTCATGAGAGAACAAGGGCTCAGAACAGGAAGGAAGCCCCAGGCCCAGAGGTCTCGGGGTCCACTCCTGCCTTGGGCTTTGGCCTCTTCATCCTCTGGGCACATCTTCCCTCTGCACGTGGCCGAGGCAGAGAGATGTTCCAAATGTACTTCCCAGGGACTGCAGGGTGCTCCAGCCCCTCCCCAGCATCAGGATGGAAGGGCTCCATCCTGAGCTGGACCCTCCCTACATGAGCTAGAGGGGCTCACCTCACCCCATACCTGGACCAAGGGACCCAGGAGAGGGGCCTTCAGACTGTGCCCAGAACACCTGAGGTGGCATCTGGAGAGGCCAACCCCAAGGATGCTGGTCCAGGGCCAGCTGGGCTTCTGAGACCCAGGACTCCAGCCCATTCCCCCAGGGCCACCCAAGATTAGACACAGGGCAACTGTCCCAGGCCAGGGCAGGCCAGCACCTTACCGAGAGGCAGGACTCATAGGAGGTCTCCTAGATGCGGCACCGCTCTGTGGGGAGGGAGTGGGGGTGTCAGGAGAAGAGACTCCACTGGACACAGCAGCCCCAGGACAGAGAGCAGGTAGGGAAGGGGAGAGGCAGGACCCTCAGGGTGCCTCTTCACCCCCAGAGGCCTGAGGAGAGCCGGATGAGCGGAGTTCCTGATCCCACAGGCCAGCTGGACACCTGCTGTGTCTCCCCAGGCTGAGCCTGGCCAGAGCTTACCGGCCCCCTGGGTCACATCCAGGAAGATGGGCATCCGCACGGACAGAGTATTGACAGCGTCGCTGAACTTCTCCATGACCTGCTTGTCCACCCTCAGGGTCCTTGCTGTAGAGGAGGCTGGGTCAGCTCTGGGCTTCCTTCCTGTTCTCCAGGGCTCTGCCCACTTAGCCTCAGGTCCCCCATATCCCTGCTACACAGCCCAGCCCTCCTGGACCTCCCTGGATAGCACCAGGTCCCAAGCTCTAGGTGGGGACTCAAAGGTGGGGGCCATGCCCAGAACCCCCAAACGGGACTGGAGTGTGGACTGGAATGTGCCTCTGTCACCCCACAGAGAAGGGAAAACCTAAGCCTGCACCTCTGTGTCCTTCAGGAGCTTGTGTTTGCTGAAATGACTGTGTTCAGGGTGCTTTGGTCAGCCCACACACACCCCAAAGCTCCCAAGAGGGTCTAGCTCCTAACCAGGCCGGGCCCCACTAGCCCCACATCAGGCCCAGCCAGGCAGCACCTACCCAGGTACTGGCACATCAGGGTTTGTGAGGGGTCAGCGATATTCTCCATGCAGAGGAACAGGTAATCTTCATAGTTAGCATCCAGGAACACTAGCCTGTTCTCCCCCAGGTCTGCCAGAGGAGAGAGGAGGAAGCACAGGGAAGGCGCCCGGGCAGGTGTATCCTGCGGCCCAGTGCCTGGACTGGATTCTGACCCTGGGCCCCTGCAAGGTGCGGGGCTCTGGGTGCTGGGCACTGGGCATGGGACACAGGGCAGGTCATGGGCCCGGGCAGCTCAGAGATGAGCAGAGATGGGGCAGTTGCAGCTAAGGGTCAGGGTGAGAGAGTCAGGCAGCATTGCTGATACAGAGATGGGAATTTATCTGGGCTTAGGGCTGGAGAGACCCCATCAGAGAAGTCAAAGAAGGCAGGGTGAGGGCACAGGACAGGGGGTGGTGAGGGGAAGACACAGGCCCAGAGGGCAACTGGGCAGTGGGAGGGTGGCCAGAGAGTCCAAGGCTAGTCCCTCGTGTAAGAAGCAAGCTGCATTTGCCCCAGAAACTTCCTCTGCGTCCTTTCGTGAACACTTTTAAAGGCAATTTCCCACAAAAGACCACAGGCCTTGACCACCTCCTGTCCTTTTTAAGAAAATCATCAACGAAATAGAAGAAATTGTTGCAAATTATCACAGAGAATTAGATGGTACAGGAACACATTCTATGTCCCTCCTCCTCCAACAAAGAGGTTCCAGGAGCTGGGCCTTGGGCTGGAGCCTCAGCCCTAGGGTGGGCAAGACATGACCAGACCCACAGGGAGGGCGTCCAACCAGGCTGGTACAGCCCCCAGCTCCATTGAGAGGCCAGTGCTTGGTGCCCACCCAAGTCCTGTTGCTGTCACTGCAGGAGTCAGGGCCTCACGTGTCTCCAAGGAACACACACCTCCAGAGCATGCGCCAGGCAGACCTGGGCCACCCTGACCATCCGTGCAGAACGGATCAGGGTCAGGCATGGTGCTGCCTCCATCCTGCCCAGCCACCTCCTGGGAGAGAGTAACCAGCCCTCGGACTGGGGGCACTCACAGTTGATCCGGAACTTCTCTAGACTCTCAGTTTTCTCTGCAAAGATCTTCTTCTCCATGCACCTGTTGTCCTCCCTAAGAGGCAGCCACACTGAAGCCTCCAAGCTGCCCGCCCCTGCCTGGAGCTGTGGGGAGGCTGAGCCCAGAGGCAGACCTACCATGCTTGCAGGGTGACCTCCAGGTTGCCCTCAGGGGTGGGCCTCAGCTCCGAGATGAACACTCGCAGGGAGCCAGAGGGCTCCAGGAGGGAGGAGGTGCTGGCTGCCATGGCCATGGAGTGCCACGTCCCTGCCAACTGAGGGGCCTTGAGCTGCCCCGGGGTCACCACCTGTGGGCTCACCATCACCCCCCCTAACCCCAGACAGGTGAGACTGATCTTGTAAAGGTGAAGACACAGAGCAAGGCTGAGGGCTCCTAACAGCGGGGCCTTGCTCTGGCTCTCTTTAGATTTCTGAGACTCTGGGCTTCCCTGTGGCTCCCCCGACCCCAAACCTCCAGTCCTCCCCAAACCTTCTGGATGTCCAGATGCTTCACAGTCTCAAACACATCGATGGCCTGCACTCCACAGACGAGGGCCAGGCCCAGAGTAAGCAGGAGGCACTTCATGACCACGCTAAGGCTGCTCTTGTGACCTGGAGGTGCAGAAGGCCGAGAGGCAGGTGCAGGAGGCCGAGGGTTAGACGCGGGTCCCTTATATAGGGAGGGAGGCAGGGCCAGGGGCCTGGCCAGGCAATTCCACGAGTCCCAAGGACCTCAGGCAACGCACAATTAGGATATCAGGAGGACTTCCTCTCTCCAAGTGCAGTAAGGAAGATCCGTGTCCTTGGGCTGGGAAGTTCTCGGTAGGGCGAGTGGGGCTGAGGCTACGGCCCAGGCTGGTGGCCAGAGGTAAGGGTACTTTCTGGTCAGGGCTCTTAGGCAGGCGCAGTCAAAAGCCACACTGAGGACAACTGTGCCAAGGGACAGCCTATGGGTCAGGCAAGGGGTCTGGGTTGCTCTGGAGTTGGCCAGTGGGTGGCTGTTGCATCATAGGGGCCACAGGGTCACGACCCCATGTGTGCTCCTGGTGGCCCCTCCTGCAGGCACTCAGCAGCACCACATGCCCTCAGCTGGCCAAGGTCTCCTGGAAGGGTCAGTGGTGAGAGAAGGAGGCAGGGGCCTTGGACGGCTGCCTGAGGTGATGTACAGCTGTGTGCCCTCGGAAGGGACACGCCACCTTTGCGCCTGGATCACAAAGAGAACATGCTCTGACAAAATGAATGTCCCAGCCTGTCATTTCTGGAGCAGGTGCTGGACTCAACGCTGTCTCTAGGCCTCTCCCCTATGTCCCCACATTGGGTCGAGGACAGTACTCTCAGCCAGGACACCCAGTTTCCTGTTTACAGGGGACAAGGGAGTGCAGGCTGAACAATGTCCCCCAAAGTCCACGTTGGCCTGAGCCTCAAACTCAGATCTTACTCAGAAGTCAGGTCTTTACCAGTGTGACCAGCCAGGTGGGTGGTCCTGCAGTGGGTGGCCTCTGGTCCAACAAGACTGGGGGAGGACACATGTGAGGACAGGAGCACAGCCTGGACACGGCAGCACCAGCGTGGCAGGAGGACTGGTGCCGCCCACACCTGGGCTGTGGTGCCGCCCACACCTGGGCTGTGGTGCCGCCCACAGCTGGGCTGTGCTCCCATGAGCCCCTGCAGTCAGAAGCCACACAGCGCGGAGCCACATACCTCCTTAGGTGTCAGGAGCACCCACGGGCTGCGTGACAGGCGGAGCCGGCTCCAGCGCCTGAGTTCCAAATCCTGCTCTCGTTTTAGATGGGGTCAGGCAGAATGAAGGGAAATCAGTCAAGAGAAAGCAAAATGTCCTTTTCCCCAGTAAACCTGGACGTGCTGGGGTTCCCGTCCTCGGGCAGCTCCTCTCTGCAGGTTCTTGGAAGGCCTGGCTGTCCCTACGCGTGGCCGCCTCAGAGCCCACTGTTCAGGACCCTATTCAGGACTTCCAGGAACAGTGTTGCTGCCATCCAGCCACAGAGGGGACAGGCCCAGGGCCAGGCAATTCCACAAGTCCCCAGGCCCTCAGACAGCTCCAGACTAGGACATCAGGAGGACTTCTTCCCTCCATGTCCAAGCAGGAAGCTCCACGTTCCCAGGCTGGACAATTCCTGGTAGGGCAGGGGTGGGAAGAGTCCAGGCTGGCAGCCAGCAGCAGCATTTGCTGGTGGGGGGGTCTTGGGCAGTGGCAGTCAGAGGCCACACTGAGGACAGTTGTGCCTGGGGAACAGCCTGTGGGTCAGATGAGGGGCCTAGGCTGCTGTGAATCGGCCGGTGGGTGCCGTCTGCCCCCAGAGGAAGGTACTCCAGGCTGAGGCCCCATGTGTTCCACACAGCCGCCCCAGTGTGGTGGTGCCTTACATGCACCTCTGGGAAGCCCCATTCCCACAGCTGATTCTCTCGACTTGTGGGCAGAGAGGTGGGGCGTGGGGGTGTTGTGCGACCTGACCCTGCCGCTGTAACCCAGAGGCAGGTCTGTGGTAGCTGCTCCTCCAAGTACCTGCAAGTGCACAACCCCCACACGGCACAGAGTGCGTGTGATGGGACAGACACTCACTCGCACCCTGCAGCCCCTCTGTGAGCCTCCAGAAATGATTCAAAGGGCACAGGGGTTGGGAAGGGAGGAGAACTTTCTCTGGCTGCACACATCCCTAATGTGATCATCTGGGCAGAAATTTGCCAAGAATCTGCAAAAGCCCTCCTAGAACGAGGGGAGTGGAGCAAGTTCACAGACCAACACACATATACAGTGCCAAGGAACTCAGAAACTAATCCCGAAAATCTAATATTTATAAACACTTAGGAAAGAGAAATGTGTAGGTATACATCTAACAAACCACACACAGCATGTCTGAGGGCCGTGAGTGCTGACAACAGAAGACAGCCCTCAAATGACAGACACCCGACGTCTCCTGGGGGAGGAGGCCCCACCGGCCATAGTCGGACCCGACCAGCCTCCTCTGCAGGTTTAATTCCCGTCAAACCCAGCAGACAATTTGTAAATACACACAAGTGGGTGGAATAGATATGCCTACAGTATGTAAGTCAAGGCAAAGCAGCTACAACAGCTAAAACCTATTTTGAGGAAGAATAAAGTAGGAAGAGCGGTTCTGCCTGTGTGTGAGATGCCCGTTGTCTGCAGAACATAGCCAGTGTGGTTTAGCAAAGAAAGGGGTGCACAGACTCACAGAAAGGGGAGAGGGGCCGGGCAGAGGCTTACACAAGCATCCGACTAACTTTTGACAAAGCTGGGAACCCAATTCTGTGGGAGGACAGTCTTTTCAACAAATGGTGCCAACAGACAAACCTCCACCTAACCTCACACCTGACCCGAAAAGTGACTCAAAGTGGCCCCTGACCTTGAATGTAGGACACCACTTCTGCATTGAAACATAGCAGAAAATCTTTAAGACCGTGGGCTAGGGGAAGAATTCTCAGACTTGAGTACAAAAGTGAGACCCACAGAAGAAAACAGATTGTGCTGCGAGAAAATGAAAGCTTTTGTTCTGTGAAGACAGAAAGACAAGCTAAAGATCAGAGAAAAAAGTCACATGTCTGACGAAGGCTGATGTCCCCAGCCATACAGACTCCTGTAAGCTCAGTCACTTCACGCAAACACAGGCACAATCAGGTCCTGGTGGTCTAGCTTTGTTGTTGCTGCTGTTGCCACTGGGGTCTTCTTCATATGCTCTTTCCCCACCCACTGCCTTTAAGAGTTCCCCGTACTTTCTTCTAAAGCTTTTATAGTTTTGTGTCTTAAATCTAAATCTTTTTTCTGGGTGGATGGGTAGAGGGAGGGTGATTCGAGGGATCACCTCTATAGTTTATCTTACAAGGGTACAAGTGAATCTTTCTAAAAGTAGAATATAAACGTCTTAACACAATAACTAAGAAAATGACATGAAGGCATGTTAACCAGTTTGATGAAAATATTTCAAATTGTATATGAAAATACCACCCTGTACTGTACCCCATGATTGCATTAATGTACACAGCTATCATTTAATAAAAATAAATATATAAATAAATAAATAAATCTTGTTTCCAGTGTGAGTCCACTTTTGTGAGTGGTGAGGGTGTGGGTCCAGCCTCAGCTGTGCACAGGGCTCTCTGGCCAACCGGCAGGGCTCTCTTTGCCTGTGCCTGGCGTGCGTGTCAAGGATCAGAGGGTGACACTTGCAGCTTCATCTCCAGGTTCTGGGGTCTCAGGCAGTTATGTAAGATGCCAAGGCAGCTGTTTAGGGTAGGTGAAGGGTGTACCTGACCTCTCCGCATTTTTTTGTTTTGTTACTTATTATAAAAAGTAAAAAAAGCAGAAATTCCTCCACTGGCTGGCACACAACAGCAGCTGTCACATGTACCAGCCTTAAACCAGAACACTTAATAACAATGTTTTCAGGCTGTGTGAGGAGAGGCAGCAGAGGCCTGTGACCCTGAGGGACAAATGTCAACACACTGGGCACTGTGACCACCCGTCCAGGGCCAGCTCAGGGAAATCTGACCCAACAGGACCCAGGGCCCCCTCCCGGTCAGCTCTGGACCCACCTCCCCACTTCCCCTAGGCTGGGCTGGACCTTTCTTTGCATGTCAGGGCAGCTAGGTGCTTGTCCAGATGGGGGTGATCCCAGCCTGTCCACTGGGAGCTCTCTGAATGGGGGTCCCCTGCACACAGCATGTTCCTGTGTCCCACATTCCAGTCAGTGGGGCAGGGCCAGCTTGGCCTCAACCTCGGAGGGAACTCCACCACCCAGGAACATCCAGGGCCCCAGCCACAGGCCCCTAGTCCTACAGCAACCTTACGACTCAGGCCCAACCTATCCGTGCACCGGCCCCTCCTGGCTGGCAACACACATGTCACGTGGGTTCCCCCGGGCGCCGTGCACACTGGGCACCACCTGCACACTGGGCACCAGTGTCTGCAGTGTGGTTTGTCCTGCACCAGAAGCCACAGTATCCTAGAGAACAGGAGAGCCCCAGAAGTTCAGTCTAGCCCAGCAGAGGGAGGTAGGAGGTGACCCAGGGACACCTGGAGGGGTCAGGGCAGCACTGAGGGCTCCTAGTGACCACAGTCGCGGTTTGTAAGTGGACCAGTCTCCTGCTGTGCACCCTCTGCCTTTCAGCTGGGGGCCTTCTCCGGGCAGGGCCTTCACCTGCCAGGGCCATGAAGAAGGCCGGTGGGGCAGGCAGAGCCAGGACAGAGACACGGACTTGTCCCAGGAGCTTAATATGTACAGAGGAAACAAAGATGTGCCTGGAAAGAAAGCGAATCCAGGGCCAGGTCAGAAAGGGCTTGTGACCAGGTTGGGAGCCTTGATAGGGGGCTACAGGGGTCCTTGTGCTCACAGAACATCCTGGCAGCACTATTGGGAGGAGAGGGCAGGGCAGGGCTACGTGGGATTGAGGCAATCCTGTTGTTTGTTTCAGCAAAGATGCTGCAGAACCCCAGCCGGGCCCCTGGTGTCTCAGGGGGACCAAATGAGGCAGGGCCGGGTCAGATGAGGGCTGAGAGCGCTTCTCTGGCTTGGCCCATACTCTGGGAGAAGCAACAGAAGGGCCCTGGTTGGGAAGTCCTGGCCCAGCCCCTGGAGCCCTTGGGGCACTTCCGTCACCAGAAATGGGCCACCTATTGAAGCTGCCCTTTGAGTAGCTGTCTTTGGCAGGATCTGCTGAACCCGAAAGTAGCTCCTGGCTCAGTCTCCAGGAACCTGGGACATGATCACACAAACCACAAATGTGCCTGGATGCTCCACGACAGACTCAGCGCCCACCATCCCCTGAAGAGCTCAGATTTCTACCTGGGAAATTTGTAACTCTCGTGCTAAATTCCTTTGGTTATCCCAGTGGTCCCAAATGCAGCCTCATACCCTACACACTCTGTGTCCAAGAGTCAACTCTCCCAAATCTCCCCTAGCTGCCCACCTAGCAGTTGTCCTCCCTGAAGCTGACCCCATGCAAGGAGGGATCCAGTCCTCCCTGACTTCTCAGGGTCCAGTCACAAGGGACACCTCACCCTGGTGGCCCTCACCCTCATCTTGTTATATTCCAGAGTCTGAGGTGTGGGTGTAGTGGCATTGAGCAGAACTCATGAAATCGACAGTGTTGGCTCAGTGCCCATAGCACAGTGCTTACGGCACCAGCCATATGCAGCGAGGCTGGAGGGTTTGAATGCCACCCAGGCCAGCTAAAAACAACAATGACAACTGCAACAAAAAACAGCTGAGCGTTGTGGCAGGCACCTGTAGTCCCAACTACTTGGGAGGCTGAGGCAAGAGAATCACTTAAGCCCAGGAGTTTGAGGTTGCTATGAGCTGTGGCACCACAGCACTATACCAAGGGTGACATAGTGAGACTGTCTCAAAAAAAAAAGAAAAGAAAATGACAGTATCAACCATCCATCCATCCACTATCCATCCACTATCCATCTACCATCCATCCATCCATCCATCCACCCACTATCCATCCATCCACCATCCATCCACTATCCATCCATCATCCACCCATCCACCATCCATCCACTATCCATCTACCATCCATCCATCCATCCACTATCCATCCATCCTCCATCAATCCATCCACCATCCATCCATCCATCCACCATCCATCCCTCCACTATCCATCCGTCCATCCATCCACCATCCATCCATCCACTATCCATCCATCCATCCA